GCACTGGTCATATTTTTCAATCATTTCCCAAATGAAGATACAAAGGTTTTAAGAATTGTACCCGATTTATTAGGAGGTTTTTATACTTTATTATAATTTTTTAGTAATAAGCTCCTAAACATTAGAATCACTTAGACTAGTCTTTTTTTCAGCCTTATAAATATGTTTTTGCCAAATCACTTTCGTTTTTATATTTTCTGAGTATCAGTTGGTTTATCGATTGATAAAGTTTTCCTGGTAGATATTCAAATCAAATATTGTTGAAAAGGTTTGATAAAATGTTTAAAATGCCAATTTTATTTGATAGCTAATTAATCTTCTTACAATTTTCAAGGAATTAATGATACTTGATGTTTTTAGCCTGTTTGTTATTTATAGACACTATTTTACCTGTAAAAGTATAAATTCATTATGCTATCTTTTATTTCAAAATTTTTTTTGTCCTGATATGAATATCAAATTCTTAAACTTAATCCTTCTAAATTTGAATTAATTTGTTTTAATAGTTTTGCTAGAAGTTCTTACTTTCATCTACATAGAATAAAAAAACTTTTGTTTTCTTTTGATGATCCTGCTCTTCTTCTTGTTACTTCTTTAGTTTTATCTAGGATTATTTATTGTAACTCGCTCTACCATGGCCTTCCTGATTCTACTCTATCCTTTAAGTAAAGCTGTTGACTCTGCTGCTCTTCTAGTTGCTCGTGCCAATTTCCTTTCTTATATATCTCCATATCTTGTTTTCTTGCACTGGCTACCTATAAAATATAGAATATTTTTTAAAATTTGCACATTTATGTGTAAATTTCAATCCAAATTATTTCCTAAGTACTTATCAGACTTAATTGAACTTAACTAAACGCCCCGGTTTTCGACCGCCTTCTTGTTCTCACTTTTTCTTAACTTGCGTTAAACACTCTTGCTAAATCTGTTTTTGCTTTTTCTGGCCCTTTTCTCTGGATCTCAACTCTATCTCCTTCTCTGACTTTTCCTCCATCACTTACGAAATTCATAGCCGATCTCAAGACCCATCTGTTTGCAAAATTCATTGAGAGCGCTCTTGAACATCGCGGAAACAGTGCTTTATAAACTAATTAATTGATTGATTGAAAAAATTTCAAAGCTTTTCAAATTTTGGCTTCCCCGTCAACGTTGTTTAGATTCGCCACGGCATCTTCATTATTTGTTTAAAACTCTGATTAGGACTAGCCTCAGTATATTATAAAACTTAAATTTTTTTTCTCTGCTGACAACGAAACAATCCAAATTTAAAAATTCACAGTTTTTAATTTTGTAAAGACCTTGGCTTGTTGAAACGTAATTCTTGATGGGTTTGTACAATTTAGCTCGCATATTTAGATATGGAAATTTAAATAGAAGTTTATATTTATTTTTCAATTCTTCCAGTTTAAAAGTTAGTTCATTCATGGTTTTTAGTGTCGTTAATTGATGCCCATGGCAGTCTAGTCTGAGCTTAAATTAATTCTAAAATGTTATATTAGCAT